CCACCTCGTCCCCGCCCTCGACATCTTCCTCGATCCCTACAGCAAGAAGCTGCACATCGCCATGGAGTACATGGAGGGCAACTTGTATCAATTGATGAAGGCCAGGGACCACAAGTGCCTCGACAACGCCAGCGTCAAGAGCATTCTTTTCCAGATCATGCACGGTCTTGAGCATATCCACGCACACCATTTTTTCCATCGCGACATCAAGCCCGAGAACATCCTCGTCTCCACCTCTGCCCACCAAGACGCCGTCACGTCTTTCCGCAGGTACTCGGCCCTCGTCACACCTCCCTCTACACCCCCCAGTTACACTGTCAAGATCGCCGACTTTGGTCTCGCTCGCGAAACGCACTCCAGGTTGCCCTACACAACGTACGTTTCGACGAGATGGTACCGTGCGCCCGAAGTGCTTCTTCGTGCCGGTGAGTATTCGGCCCCCGTCGACATCTGGGCTGTCGGTGCCATGGCCGTCGAAATCGCTACCCTCAAGCCACTCTTCCCTGGCGGAAACGAGGTCGACCAAGTTTGGAGGGTCTGCGAGATTATGGGAAGCCCCGGGAACTGGTACAACAAATCTGGTGGCCGTGTTGGCGGCGGTGAATGGAAGGACGGCACCAGACTCGCCGGCAAGCTCGGTTTCTCATTCCCCAAGATGGCGCCCCATGCCATGGACACGATTTTGCAACAACCCCAGTGGCCCGCTTCACTGAGTCACTTCGTTACGTGGTGCCTCATGTGGGACCCCAAGGCTCGCCCTACTTCAACCCAGGCGATTGCCCACGAGTACTTTGCTGACGCCGTTGACCCTCTGAGGCCGAAGTCGTCGGCTTCGAGGATTTTGGGCCGCAAGCAGTCTGATCTCAAGGGCACCGCCAACTCCAATTCTTCTACCCCCACATCTTCCAAGCCGTCTTGGTTCAGGAAATCCCTGATCGGTCGCTCGGAAAGCGCCGAGGTTGCTGTCCCTCAACCTATTTCCAAAGATCCAACACCGAGACCTTCTCCCGTTCCTTCGCAAACGACGAACGAGGTCCCCGTCGCCAAGACGCGTCCTGCCCAGCCAAAGCGCACGACCTGGTCAAACGGCCCATCAAACGTTGCCCCCATGCCGATACTCCCTACGATCCGTCCCATTTCTCCCCTGTCCGACGCCGTGACCGCCGAAGCGAGGAACGGTGTTACCTACAACGACTCGTACGCCAACAGCCGGCACCGTGCAGTTCAGGTTGAAGACAAGAAGAAAATTGGCAGGCAATTGTCGGTTGCCTCGAGCACTAACAACTATGCGGAGATTCACCGGCAGCAGGCCGAGAGGGCACTGAACGGCAACGGCGGTCTCGCATCGCCGCCTAATGGTCAGAAGGAAAGCTTCTTTTCGCACCTAAGGAAACGCGCCCGCCGTTTCTCAGGCAGGCACCAGGCCCCCATGTCGCCCAACTCTGACGATGTCGAAGCCCAGACTGGCTGCGGCCCTTGGAACAGCAACCGGTCCTCCATGGTGATTGACAACGCGCCTACCCCCCCGCCAAAGCCTACCGAGATCTACGAGCCGCTTGACAAGGCCCTTAGAGATGTTCAGCAGAAGCAGAAGCAGAACCAGGATCACGCTCCTGTTCCCCCCGCGCACCTCATTACCCCCAGTAGCACTCTCAAGAGACACCACTCTTTGCCGCAACATCAGCCGCGGTCAGTCGACAACCTGATGGTGGCTGCAAGAGGAACTGTGCCAATCTCGAACCGAACCCGACGCCAGGGTGTGCAGCACTACGATGCACCAGATGAGGAGGACGAGTTACTCGATGAGGTTCTAAACTCGACGCACCGCGCCATGAACCGCCTTGAGAAGGACGGAAAACCCGGCTTGCGTCAGTCTGCCAGCAATGTTGGCATGTCGAACCCGTACCCGACCCCGTCCCCCTCGGCCAACGGTAACTCTGTCCTCTTCGGCGACAACCACGAAGCCGTCGCTCCTAAACCTTTGAACCTCCAAAAATCACACGGCGCCGAGAGCCAATACAAGTGGCCTACGCCCCCATATGAGGAGAGCGAATGGGCTGCTTCGGCGTCCGCTAGTATCTGGGCGGCCAGTAACCGGTTCTAAGGCGGCGGCGGCCTCGAGCCTGTGCCCAGTTCACCGCAAAAGTTTCTTGCGTACTCACATGCATGGGTCTGGTGTTTTCTTTTTTCTTTTTGGCGTTTGCCGGTGTAACCGACCTCATCCAGACTGAGGTGGTCTTCATTCCGGATCTTGGTTTTCCTTTTGCCCCTATATTGGGGGGGGCAGGGTGGCATTTCGATTACTCTACGATATCTTCGATACCACAGGGCGGCACACTTTTCCGCCATTGCGCATATCTCTATTTCTGCCTTTTTCTTCATATTTTTCATCGACTCAGCTGTTTCGAAATACCCGATACTATAGACTGGAAGGGCTGCTGATGGCGCTCTATACCAAAGACAACATTTCTTTTGTTCCTGGGGCTCACACGGGCAAGGAGTGGCGGTCTCCCAATCTGGAAGAAAAGAACACGGTTCAAGGGATTGGGGAGGCAAAGATAAGGGGGTCAGCTATGATCGCGCAATTCTGTACAAGGAAGGACAACGACACAAGATTTTTTTTTCTAGATTCTCTGCGAGCTGGACACGTCAGACGACTCGGGAAAAGCCATGTTGTGGCCGACGGATGCCCAAATGGAATAGTCTGTTACATATGGACCGTGGAAAGACGCGAATGGTAAACATATGGGCAACCTTATCGAAGCTACTCGGCGATGCTGAGTCCAGCGATTGTGTGTGTTCACAATCGCGTGGGAACTATCATTTATTATTTGGTTCGAGGATGGGGTAGAGGGGTAAAAGCAGATTTTCAAGAAGGGTTGGGGATTAGGGGAAACTGTACGTAGGCGGGATGGTCTTCGGAGTCCTGCTATAGCCATACTATATAATAATAACGTGGCACCCTAGCGATGCTCACTGGTCACGAACCGCAATACTGTCCTTTTAAGAGAATCTTGCGAAGTGTCTTTGCCAGGTCTTTTTCATCGTGTGGCCAAGGAAAGAGGAAGGCAGTGAGAAGAAGACGAGACGAGAGAACTTTTTCGAATTGACTCTTGGCCCAACACTTCGGACGGTTTAGACATGCGAGCGAGCGCGGACGTGGCTTGGACGCCTTTCCCACAGCCGGTGGTCCGTTACGGTAGTGTCCGTGACTTGGTACCTTGCGGGTGCCAGAGAGGCGGGGTTTGGGGGTGTTTGCTAGTGGTGGTGTGGGGGGGGTTGCCGCGAAGGAAACGTCTTTCTGTCTCCCGTACCTACCTTATGCAATGCAGCAGCGATGAGCTGACAGGGGCCGCCCGCGCCAGGCGAGGTTCGGACGGAAACGATGTGTACTTAGTTTAGGTACTTGGAATCCTGCATCGTAGAGAGTGCGTAATCGACCTAAACAGAGCAGGGATATGGGAGTTTATGCGCAAGTAGATGTGTTATGCGTAGGTGCGTACGCGGCAGCTCTGCTGCGGACGACGTAGGAGGATCTGGGCCGCGTTTGCTGCGGCCGGCCAGGGGCGAGGACCATTTTGGTGTGTGGCGGCGCGGAGGTAACGGGAACGTAGTTGTTCGGGAAGACTGTGTTTTGGTCCAGTTCGTCTTTTCTTTTTCCCGTGCTTACCCTGGACTGGAATTCGTTTTTTTTTGTTTGGTCGCCCGGCTAGGTGCCTGTTTCTCGATGGCCGACTGTGGGTTTTGGGGGGGGGGGGGGGGGGTAAACGTTGCTTCCGGAATGCTATGGGTTTCTCTACGTGGACCTACGCGGGGAAGGCACGAGGGACTAGAGAAGCATGGACGCTGGTCTCCAGAAGAAAGGCATGTGTTGTTGTTGACGGTGGCGATGCGGGCTGACGGCGACCTTGGTCAAATTCTTCCTTGGTTAGTCCAAGTGTCTCTCGCATACCTCAGCGTTGACAAATACGTGCCGAACTGCATTACTCACTGGTAGATGCGGTTCTCCTTTGCTTGACGGTATGCATTTGCCCCGAGTAAGGCAGCAGTTCGGGGTGCCTCGAAGCGGCTGATTTACGCATGGGTTTGTTCTGTGGGCCCGTATACATACCGTAGATGTAAACCTGCCGCACAAGGTGACAATACTTCCTTTTGGTATCGGTTTTTGGCATCGAACAATGTGATCACACTATTGGTCACTTAAAAAGTTGCAATTGGCTTTCTCCGCCAACAGCCTGCAAATAGCAAACCCTGTTGACCCCTGGGCGATTATCGCTGGCTTGAGGCTTTGTTGTCATCGTCGTCGTCGTCGCCAACCAAAGCAAAACAAAACATGCAGATGTTAAAAACAAAAACATACAACACCAGGTATTCGCTGGTCGTCACCGACCCAACTACTAATCCGGCCCTCATTGGCTTATCTATGGGAGAGCGGACGGGATCCCGAGTTTTCCAATGGGTATGGTCGTATGTGCTGGATTATTAATTTGAGGCTGGTTATATCGGGCTTCCAAGTTGTCGGGGGAGGGGGTTTTGCATTCATACTTACAACTACTAATCCGGCCCTCACACTCTTTCATTTTGGGTCAGGAACTACCACTGAGTGCTGTTTTTGGTAGCCTATAACGTTGGCCTCTTAACGGGCTCTACTCTGCAAGGGAAAACATGACACCGAGTATCTCCGTTTAGGTTAGACGATCCACCGGTTTCTTGTTCATAAATGCTCCATTAGACCTGACCTTGTATTTGTGCACTACTGCTTGGCATGCTGGGGAGTAGACGTAGTATCGTGCTACCTGACCTGCTTGCTTCCTCACTTTCCTAAAGCGATCACTCTGATTTCTTCCCTTATCAGATTTTCATCACCCTGCAACATCACGATGTGACGCATCATCCATATCGTCAGTTGCCTCAGACGCCAAGTTTTCCTTGCTTCTTCTTCTGGCCCCTGGACCTAAATCCTCACCAACAATATCATGCTTTCTAGTCGCGATAAGTCCCATACAGGACTTTTGAGAGACGAAACTCTTGTTCTCCGGCAACTCCTCGGATACAGCGATGTCGATTCAGCAGCACCAAGTTTTCAACCAGAAAGCCTTGGTGATAGGCTACAGCGATCTTCTATGAGGGATGTTCTCTTCGTTGGGCTTGATATTGACACATATCAAGGATACGACCAGCTTATTGGAGACCAACAGCTCCATATTGGAGTCTCAATATTAGACACAAGGGTTCTAGAAGACATGCTTTTAAACCCAACTGCAGCAAATTATCAAGAAGCTATAACATCATATCAGTTCACAGTAGGAGAGTCAGCTTATTGTAAAAGGGCATCAAAAAACTTTCTCTTCGGCTTATCACAACCTATTAGCATTACTGAGCTTAAACCGAAAATAGATGCTCTACTATCAAAAAGGGACTATATTCTTGTCCTTCACGGTACACACTCAGACTTTAAGATTCTTCAGCATCTTAAAATTGATCTCCCAGCCCAATCACTTTACGTTGTTGATACCAACAAGGCTGCACAGTCTCCTCTTAAGCTATATTATCGGTATAGCTTAGAGAAGTTACTTGAAGCATTACAAATACCCTATGCAAACCTGCATGCTGCTGGAAACGATGCTCACTATTGTCTACGAGCACTACTTATGATAGCGGTATTTGACGCTGAACGCTATCCGTCAGAACAGTATAAAGCGTTACTACACCTGTTCAGAGCTACAGCGCAGGCACCTCGGCCATTAACCCGAGGCGAAATTTGGCAAATGGAAGAACCTCAACGCGAAGCCCATCGAGAAGCAAAAAGCCAGTCAAGGTCCAGAAGAAAAGCCAAACGGGCGGCCAGGACTAACAGAAGACTACTCGAAAGGTTGGATCGTGAGAAAGAGCAGACGCAGATGGCAGAAACGGATCTGATGGCACAGTCTAGTCTCTTGGACATTGGAGATGGACCCGAGGGCCCCGGATGAGTGCACATTATGGCCACATCGGTGGTGGGGATGAATACCAGGAGCACGACACAACCACGTCCCCGCAGGGAGCCTAGGATCCAATCCCTGCAGGAAACCCTACATCGTTACAAGGCTGGTAATGGTAAATGAGAAATGTCTCTCGAGGGCGCACATTTCGGACGGGACTGCTACTACGCCTTTGACATTGGGCGAGAAGGCACTAGCATTTGATTTGGATAGACTTCGACTGGCCAGGAACCAGAAGAGCAGATGTGATGGGTTCGCCGGCGGTCTTGCACGGCGAACTGTTGCCACTATTTCATCAGGGCATGGTCGACGTTTTTATAATCAAGATAGCAATTGAACCGTGTCTTGGAATATAATGCCCGTTCTTTTTGTAAGGTATCAAGGCTTAGGTTCTGACAAGAGCAGGAAAATGGTTGTCTCTTAGGACGGAAATAAATTCCTTTGTCCTCAACCTTTGATATTTGGAAGACAACCGGAGCCTATACCCATATCTTTGGCAACAGCGAATGGCATAAATGCAATGTCAAACACGTTTTACCCTGCTAATGAATGATTACATCAACATGCGTGTTCTTGTCATGGTGTGGCATGGAGATCGAAGAGAAGAGACGTCACACTGGGCATGCCTTGAAATAATTGTGCAAGCAGATACGGCGGGAAACGGTCGGAAACGGTCAAGCGGTTTGCAGGATTCGTATCCGTACAAAACGGAACCCATTATTTCTCGGTGGTCGACCACGACCCGACTTGAATACCTGCCCTCATTGGCTTATCTATGGGAGAGCGGACGGGATCCCGAGTTTTTCAATGGGTATGGTCGTATGTGCTGGACTGTCAATTTGAGGTTGCTTATATCGGGCTTCCAAGTTGTCGGGGGAGGGGGCTTTGCATTCACACTTAACGATCGGGCGTGTAGATGACGAAACGGACCAGCTGAGAACACAAAATCTAAATTTGGACAACGAGGCTATTCGTCTGGAACGATGTACGCCTAGCAATTGACAGCAGCACTTGGTCAAAATAAGAAACCGCATCTCTCGTACGCCAGCAATGTTCTCCAGGTCGACGGGTAACCAGTACCTCGGCACGGCTTTCTTCGTATGAAGAAGACTGAAGCTCCGTCTCTATCTTTTCTTCATTGGCTGATGAAGTGTCTCGACCACTCTGAACGTGATGTGTCCGCTCTGTCGACCAGTGCTGTCTCAGTTGTTCCGTCTCCAGATCCGTAGTTGAAGACATTGCAAGAGTCGCCACGTCAAGCTATCCGAGGCTCAGTGCTTCCTTTTGCTTACCCGCCAGTTCATCCCATATGTGTATCGCGGAAGCATCCACCATCTTGACAACTCTCTGAGCTTCTTTTCAGGGGGACAAGAAAACAAAGCGAGTGTCTTGCTTGTCTCGGACTGTGGAACGAAAGGGTCAGAGACAGTGGGCTGTGTCTTGTCCAACGTCGAGTATCATCCGGCCCTCTGTCTCCATCGTGCATGTGTTTCTGATACCCTATATCTAGTCTGGATCAAGTCACTGAGCGGCGTCAGCCAAAAAGCATCTGTGCCTCCGTAGGGCTGGTTCGTGGAGTACACATCAACCAAGCTCTGCAACCAACCAAACCCAACCTCCTCGAGCCATCGTCGGAGCAAGAACCGCCGAGACAGACAGACGCCGCCGTTGGTTGAAGTATTCGGCCAGTCTCGAGCGATTATCTATGAGCGGCCCCCGGACTTAAGTTACACCGCGGACGCGGCGCAGCGTCGTGTAACCCAGAATACATGCCCAATCACACAATGACCCAAAGTTAGCAACAGTCTTCGTGCCCGCAATCTTAAGCATTCGGGTGTTTACAGACGGGTATGGAAGGGAAACGGATGTTGAGGACTTGCTGAGCCAGGCGTGTAACTCGCCGAGTCAAGAGTCCTTTTTTGGCTCACCGACCCCGAAGGCGACATGGTGTTTTCTGTTCGTCTGTACTTTACCTTCCCCAACGTCACCTTAACTACTCGACGCGGCGTTGCCTGGCTTGTACCACGCATAATATGCCCGCAACGGCAGATCTCTTCTTACTCATAACTCTGGGGTTGCAATTCCACTATGGCCAAAGCTGGCCAGTTCACTATGTCCTCGGACTCACGGACGACCAGGGTTGTATCGTCGGACGGCACACCGCCGGCCTAGCCTTCACTGGATGCCAATGCATCAATATCATACAGCTCGTATGTCAAAGCCCCATCCAGACTCCACCATCGGCGCCCGCAGGTCCATATTCCATGCCGCACTGGCCGCAGCTTCCATCCTAGGCAACTGTAGCTCAGTGATTAGAATACGTCGTTGGCATGACCTCTCAACCGGTTCCGACGAGATGGAAGTTAGATTTCTCCTATTAGTCACAATTCTTTTGGAAGAGCACTTGGGGTCCTCCACAGATATGGTTGGGGTGCGGAAAACGCTGTCACCTGTCAACCGTTGCACAGGCCATGCATGATAGGAACGTCGTCAAAGACTCTGCCGCGGCCGGAGTCTTCGCCACTCTAGTCGCTTGCGTGACAGAGGAGGGGTTCAAAGGCCGGTGTGCGATTGTGCTTTGGCCGAGCATTAGGTGATACGGTCCGTTAGATGGGGCGCGAAACTTGCGGTTTTTCGGCACCGAGTCATCGGCATTTTCGCCCGAGACTCGAGGTTGAGCGCCCCACTATATAAGGTCCCCTCCTTCGCCCATCAGAGAGAAGACAGAAACAGGGGCGGAGAAGGTCGTCTGTCAGTCTTCGCCCTTCCCTCCAAGAGACCTGACAGCGGAAGCGACGCTGACAGTCGTCATTGCCCGAGTCGTCCCCGAGAAAATAGATCGAAAAGGTGCGGAATTGGCCGATCTTTTTGGTGACTGACGAGGCGTGATACATTGACGTCGCCCAAGCGAGACGTGCCAAGAATGCAGGTTCAGGAGTTTCTCCGGCCCTCGGCCGAGGACCCGAGGCGGCTCACGTGATGTTATCTTGACCACCTGGCAGAGCCCATTGGGTTATGTCAGAATGCCGAAGCACGGTACTTGTGTCGCCCTGCACCTGCACATGCGCCCTGAGCATACATTAGTGGCCAGGAGGAATAGCGGGTGTGCCAGCACAGCTCTAGAGCAGCTTAGAGGCGCGCTTTCAGCCCTCTGGACGGCGCAAGTACCTAGGCACGTTAGCGGGCCAGTGCTTGCCCATGGTTCATTTCTGCCTCCCCCTCACCTTACCTTACCACCTTGCCTTGAGTAGCTACCCAGGTACGTAAATACCTACGTTACCTTTCGCGCGCGTTGAGCTCAGGGTACCTCGACCCAGCCCAGCGACGTCCATTCCCTTCATCGAGGAAGGCAGGAACTCAGTTAGGCAGCAGAGTACTCAACTTCGCCTCACGCCAAAGGCCCTTCGGGCTATCAGACGTCGCTCAAGCGCACATCGTGTCCATTGAATCCTCACTTCTGTCGCTACTTTGTCGTCATTGCTAGGGGCCCTCTCCTACCTGGAGCTGCCTTACGCTGCACTGTCCAGATTTGTCCAGTCACTTTCCCTCCTTTCCGCCCCCAACCGCGTCCGCCCACCTCAGGACTGAACCCCTCCTCCGTCATTTCAACACCCCACGATCATGATCCCGTAGCCTTGCTGTCCTGAAGAGACGATCGACAGCGCGACTCTTCTTTTTGACGCGCAGGTCCCGACGACGCCTGCCCGATTCTCCCTGGGAGCACATCTCCTCAGTCGGTCCCTCCTCCATTGCGCCGCCAGCGAGGGCTTGTCCCGCTCGCTTTGTTCCCTGCAGTCGGATTACTTCCGCAGGTTATGGGTTTGAGAGCGTATATCAGATATTGCCACCATGAGCTTCAATCTCCCCCTTCGGCCGAGCTCCAGTAATAGTAGGAACCAGGCCAGCCGGAGCAGTTACTTCACCAACTATACGCCGAATTCCTCCACTGAAGCCATCAATGGACCCCCTCGGGACCCTGCCCGTGAACTATTCGGCACTACCGACCGACTGATTGTCGGCGTCGATTTTGGAACCACGTTTTCAGGGTGAGTATCACCTGTTCTTTCACCTCATTTCAATTCGGAGCACCTCATAGCGAGTCACTGCCAGAGCATGTGACCAGTTCACATTCAAGCCTGCCCCCTGTTTCTCGATGTTCTTTGCGCAACTTTCAAAAGCAATGACGAACGTCATCGACATTGACAGTGGTCACTTGGACGGCATGCTGACAGTCGCATCAGTGTCGCTGCCGTATACACCTCAACGCCAGATGATGTCGAGATTATCAAGACGTGGCCCGGTGGCAACGGCATTACCTCCGACAAAGTGCCCACCGAGATCAGCTATGATTTCCCCGCAAACGCCGCCGCCGGCACCGAGCCCACGGTGAAATGGGGTTTCCAGTTCAAGCCCGAAGAGTCGCGCCTTCGCTGCATCAAGCTGTTTCTAGATCGCTCACAGAAGCTGCCTTTCTACGTTAGCCCACTGGACACGGCGGCTCAACTGAAACGTTACAACAAGAACGTCCTGGACGCCGTGAGCGACTACCTCACCCAGGTCTACAAGCACACCATGGACACCCTTACTCGAAGATACGGCGAGTCTTTTATGCAGTCCACCAAGGTCGACTTCGTCCTGACCTGCCCAGCCGTGTGGTCCGACGCAGCAAAGAATACAACGCTCCAAGCAGCCGAACGGGCAGGCATGGGGTCCAGGTCGGAGATTCAGATGATCAGCGAGCCTGAAGCTGCAGCGGTGTATACGCTAAAGGCAATCCAGCCGAACCACCTCAACGCCGGTGATAACTTCGTCGTATGTGATGCCGGTGGTGGAACCGTCGAGTGAGTCTGCGACGGCCGGCTGTTAGCTCCGTGAAGATCGCTAAATTTTGTTGCAGTCTGATCGCATACAAGATTATATCCTTAAAGCCGCTCAAGGTAGAAGAATCCGCCGTTGGAACTGGCGGCCTTTGTGGCAGCGCATTCCTCAACTACAGATTTGAAGAGCATGTCAGGAACAAACTGGGTCACAGTCGTTTCGACGAGATGAAGGTCAAGAAGAACAAGACGTGGCAGATGGGTCTGAGATACTTTGAGGAGTTTGTAAAGCGCAATTTTAATGAGGACGAGCACCAGGAAGTGAACGTGCCGTAGGTGCCCCCCCTAGAGTTTGGAAGTCAAAAATCTCTAACCCGCTGTAGGTTTCCAGGTCTGCCCGATGACGAGGAGGCCGGGTTGGACTGCGGCTTCATGGTCATGTCGGCCGCGGAAATCAAGGAGATATTTGAACCTGTCGTCAAAGAAGTGTGCGACCTTGTTCAGGGCCAGGTCACGGGCATCCGGTCTAAGGGTGGTATCGTTTCGGGTATCGTGCTGGTCGGAGGTTTCGGTCAGAGCGACTACCTCTACCGAAAACTCAAAGCCCATTTCACCAGTGCCGCACCGCCACCATACACGGAACGGCCAACTCACGGCAGCGTGACCGCGCTGCAGGAGACGAGCTCGATAGAGGTCATGCAGCCAGTATACGCCTGGACGGCGGTTGTCCGAGGAGCGGTCCTGCGAGGCTTAGAGGGTAACATGGTGATATCCCGCAAAGCGAGGTATCACTATGGCACTTCGTACGCGACGGTTTATGACGAAGAGAAACACTCGGTCAGCGAGCGATATTGGTCGCCACTATGGGAGCGGTGGATGGTGTCGGACCGTATGCAGTGGCACATTGCAAAGGTGAGACGGCGCCGAGCCCCTATTCCCAGTCAAAATCCCGAGAACAAGTACTGACCAAATCTGTGGATAGGGAGAGGCAATATCGCCCTTATCACCTATCGCATTCCACTATACTCGAAACTTCAGACCCGGGCAGTCATTAATGGTGACGGATGACCTGATTGCTTGTGAAGCCGACAATCCACCCTCGGCGTACACTCGTGATCTTATCCACGTGTGCACGTTGACGACCGATCTCAATGCGGTGCCTAGGAGTCTGTTTACGCGGTTGACGACAACACGCGGTGTGGAATTCGACAACCTTGACTTCACACTCGAGATGATTGTTGACAGTGCAGGTCTGGGTTTTGAGCTGAAAGTGGATGGTGTGCGGTATGGACGCGTCGATGCCGAGTTTCACTGAGCGAGAACTGGGCGGGCGTACCCTGGGGAGGCGAGCGAGCGGGTATTATGAACGGGGTGGAAAGATAGCGGAGGATGTGAACCGCACGAAAGGAGTTTTGGGCATAACAAGTCTGCAGGAGACACTTGTCCGCGTCTTAGCCTAGAAACCGTCTCATCATATATATGTTCATGGAAGATACAAGCTCGAGGACATATTACGTAACTCGCAAAACAAGAAGCACAATGTTCCCCAGAAATGACGCGTTCACAAGCGTGCATGGTGAGGCATGATTGAATGAATCGGTGTTGGCGGCAATGCAAACTGGTCTTGGTTTCAGACAAGCTGTAAGCTTATCTGCTGCTGGCGTATCCCAGGAAACATTGATCAGCAAGGCGCACATGTTCGCACCGCATGCTCGGATAAGGCAGAGCTATTCACCGTCATCAATACTTGTCAGGGTCTCGCGGAACCTTCTTCTTCTTGTACCGAGTAACACAAAAGGTTGCGACTCAGGCAGATGTCGTCGAAGCCGGGAACCCCGAAGTGCAAAACCGCCGTACGAGCTCAGGTGAGTAGTCTACCACCTTACGAGCCGACCGCGTCTATGCAAAGCGGACGGAAATCTATTGCGTGACTGGCGAAAAACGGCGTGTTCGGGGAGTGTGCCACGCCGCAGCCCTGTTTTCGAATGGTCCATTGGTTGGGCGGCGAGTACTCCAATGGTTGTGGGTGCGTTCGCCATTGGTTCGGCGAGGCTTGCAAGGCGAGGGTCGGCTGGTCGTCCTGGGCCACAGGACGGGACGGGACTTGAGATATAAGGCGGGATGCGGAAGACACCACGCTCACAGTTTACCTTTGACTTGGGTGTTTGCCGTTCGCAGACCTACCTCATGTCATGACATTTGGACGGGCCGTCCGCCGAAGAGAAAGTCGGGCATAGAGGTTGTCCAACATCAGGAGTATATACACTTTGTAAGGTCTGGTGCCTAAATCTGTCTATGGCCCTTGTGCTCTTGCCGGTGCTGACGTAGAGTGGGGAGGGCTTTCTTCCCCTCCTATTCGAGCCAGGGACCATAAAACGAAACCGAAAGGAGCAGTCTCTGCAGCTAGGAGTAGGACCGTAACTCTTGCGCAGTCCGACGGGTCGTAGCTGCCTGAGGGAGTTTGTTCAAGTACATCATCCCGGACATCTTCTGACACAATCAGATAAAACCAGACAAATATCTCCGCCCAATCCTCAGATAATGACAAGCAACCAAAGAAATTCTGCAGAAAATCCCGCGCATAAATCATCCGGAAACAATGAATCGTACCTCATCACCTCCCAGACACCAGACGCCCTTGGCACACTGAAAGGGGGATTAAATCTCCCGAGATGTCAACATATGTTCGCCTAATCCGACATCCTCCATCACCCGCCTCGATCAATCTGCCGATAAGCCTAAGATCGAAGTGTGCCTTGTCCTTGTAGGTGGCCCCAAGCCTCACACAGTTCCACGGGCTATGGGTTTCCACGACAGAGGTATCACCCAACTTTGGACTGCAAAACAATCTGCGGATTCCCGTAGAGCAGTCTTCTCCAAGGTGAACAACCTTATGCAAACCCTCCCCAAACACATGGATACCGGAAACTCCTTGCTGATAGATGGGGAAACCAGACGAACGTTCGCCACCTTTACCGAGAGTCCCAAGGGCAAATCGGGAAATTTGCCGCCTTTCCCGAATATGATCGACACTGCTGCTTTTCGGCCCGCTCCGACATCAAAGCGTCCGTTACCCACTTCTCCGGACCCATCGATTATGCGAGGGCAACGACTTCCGAAGACCAACGCGTTGACCTCCTAGGAGCAACGCTTTTTTTGTCGTCGTTCACTGCCCGCTGTCATAACGATTGCGGCCTCAAGCCTAGCAGGTCTCCAGTCATATGGATGAACACCCCCAAAGGTCGGGGACCCTCGTTTGCATCTTTAGCCCACTCGAAGGCCTGACGTGAAACCTTCCCGGCTTTGTACACGTGGTCGAGATAGTGGAAGTCGGGTCGCCTCTGTTCAAAACGATCACCATCCAGGATATGGTCCGCAATATGCTTCATACGATTGGTGAAGTTATATCTGGCATCGGTACAATGCTGGGTGCTGAAAACGAAGTCGTCACAAAACCAGCAGATGCATTTCGTAGGAAAGTTGCCTTGCAGGTGCTCGTAGTCGGTGTGTCTGATCCAGGCATCGACTTCGTCAAGCTGGAACTGCTCCCCACACCCAGTCCAAGGCTGAAATTCGCAATGGAGCATGCGTCTGTTTGGTATACGAGCAGTCTGTTGCAGAATACCACGGGAGAAAGTGGTGAGTGCTGTGTAAACCGACGGAGATGGGGTCTCAGAGTATGCTCGAGGCATGCCGAACTCGTCGTATGAGGTGCTGTTGTCTGGTATGTGTGTGTAATATCTTTGACTGCCACTGCCAGAACTGTGCTCAGAGCGTTGCGAAGCGGAGGAGGAAGCCGTGTCAGAGTGCACGCTGCCTGCGTACCGAGGAGTTGAGGCCTCGTAGTTTTGTTGACTATGCCAGGCCGACGGGTACAAATAGTACGGGTTATCGGACCCAGAGCCGTTGGATGGCATGTCGTGCAAATCTTGGGTGTACCTTCGAGAAGAGTCAATCATTAGGGATGATCAGTATTCTTGGCACAGCCGAGAAAGCTTCAATGGAGGAGAGAACGAAGATAAGTAAACGGACCAAGCCTACTTACTATTGCCAGACGGATGCAGATCAAAGTACGATTCCCAGCTCCAGTTTTCGATGGGGAGTAGCAATGTGCAGCAACAAGAAGACGACAAGAGATGGCCGAGTTGGAGGAGAGAAGACTCTTGGGTTGCTCATGAGAGGTGCAGCACTTGGGGGTTGGTGTTTACGGACGTCCTGCAGGTCAGTACCTGCACTTCGACAGAAGAGGAAGAAGAATGCTGCAGCTCTACGACGACAAGACTACAAGTGCACAGGATGAGGGACCCGCGACACAACAATGGTTTAAAACGCTTGGGGGCATGAAAGGAAGAGGAAAGAAGGGTGGCTTTCTTCACTTGTGGCCTCGAGGATTGAGCACCCGCGTCCGTCTTTAAGGATCGATATCACCCCAACACGGACCCGGCTGTCCTGTGATGGTTGGCACACTTTTGACTGATTTCTCATGCAACCAGGCCGGCGGCGCGCGTTCGGGGCGAATAGTCACGGTTAGCTACACCTTCCCTGGGCCCAGAAATCAACTCTTTCAGCCAGTGTGATTTCAACGATCGACCTTGAGCAAAGAATAGGCGTGTCAGCCGATGCCTGGAACGATTCTGGATCTCGACCATTTCATCGAAAGACTCTCGTTCTCGCTAGGAGTTTCTCGCCGACGTTGTGATCTTCCGCATGAAATCAACGAACTCGTGGGCAAACGCATGGGCCGGAGTTTGCCTCCAGTCAGCTGCAGCTATGGCAGGTTGAACTCCGTAGGGCTACTGCAGTCCTGATAAGGCAGCTCTCGAGCTGGCAACGAGAGATTGTACGCCCAAGTAGCATACGACTTGCTCCAACAAGCAGTGGGGAGCTCCTTTCTTTCCATCGACAATTCTGCATCGAGCTGTAAATGGTGACGACTACCACCCACTATGCGCCGGACACGTGTATAGCAGCGGCACTATGATTGAGAACAGAGCAGGGGTCTGCAGGCAAGAGGGGGGCAGAGTAAGCAACAGTCCGGCCGATTGCTGCAGTGCTACTGTGGAATTGCCGGAAGAAGCTCGAACGGCAAGCTCTGTACTCAAGTCGGAATGGGTACTGACACGCAAAAAGGGACTAGATCAACTTTCGCAGCAATCAACATGAAAGAACACGGCTCGAGATGCGACATCATTTCGTAAAACAATTTGAGAACCCCCTTGCTAACCATCGGAGCTATGCGCCACTGGTCGTTCGTAGATCATGCTGCGGTGGCTCTCCAGCACAACATGGCAAAGAGGGAAGAAATGTGTAGTGCAGCAGGTGTGCAGCGGGTGTCAGCACAGGATCGGGGGAATCCCGTTGACCCGGAGCAACTGGAGTCCGAGCAGGAGTGGGCAAGCAGAGCCTCATTTCCCCTCCCCTCCTCCTTCGACAGAGAGGGACCGCATGGAGTCGAAGTGTGGTGGTTTGGCGGTGGTGGAGTAGGAGGAAAAGGAGGGAGAGAGATCAACCCCGCTCTCTCCTCCTAACCCACCCCCCAGCGTATGAGCTGCATGTCTCAAGGGCCAAGAATCGCAGAGAACGGGGTTTTCAATTGGCCCGCATGCGGTACGGCTAGCTACTATGCCGCTACTTCCATGGGTGATTGCTGGTTCAAAACAGGAGTCTTGATGGTAGTGCCAGATAAGGACACTCATGCTGCCCTGGTCTAGCCCGTTTTCTCACGCGGGAAGGACGGAGGTGGTGGCGTCTACACACACATCATGTAGACGGGCCGGCGGCGAGGGCCGATAGGGGGTGAGGAATCAACGATAAGCCACAAGGCTGAGGTCTATGTGATGATCACATGTGCCAGAGTCCCGCCACGAGTTCTGCGTCGTATGAAATGATTCTGCCTGAGTGGTGTGTATGAAATGATCCAGCCCTACGGTGTCAAGCATGAAAGTGGAGGGATGGTAAGAAAGAGGGGGGTGGACGTCATATCATCGTTTCTATTCAGGACTACATAACACTCTAGCCTTGGCAATGACATTCTGATACTGCATGTGCCCGCCGCTCTCGTCGCCGCGCTTGATAACGCCGGGGAAGGTGACGCAGGCGATGTCGCGGTGTGCCAGCTCGTCCTCGTCCTCGCCACCAATGTCCTCCATGGTGGCCGGGTCGAAGCGCGTGCGCTGGTGGGGGACGATGTCCGGGACGAAGACGCGGAAGACGGCCTTTTGCACGGAGAGCTGGCGGGCAAGGTCAACCGCGGAGGCGACCAGGGCGCGGAGGGCGGCGTCGCGAGCGTCGGTGACCGGGGGTGCGTCCGCCGCCACGACGGCGTCGAGGATGCGGTTTACGCGGGCGATGACGCGGTCTGTCGCCGCGGACGTCTCGGCCTGCATCTTGGCCTCAGCCTCGCGGTGGAGGAGGGCAAGGGTCGCAGAGCGCCAGTTGTTGATCGCCTCGGGCGAATCGACTGCGTTCGCCATGCTCAGTCAGCACGATTCCGTCCTCCGGCTTCCACGGCCTTGACAGGAAGTGAGAGAAAAAAATGACAAAAGCCAGCCACGCACCGAAACTTGAGAGGGTCTGCTCCACGGCCTTAAGCTGCTCTGCCTGCTCCTTTGACAGCCCGAAGAAGTACGAGTCAAAGATAACATCGACGAGCACACGCGACACGATGGACTGCAGCATGTGGACCTTGGCCGAGGGTTCGAGATCGGCGTACATGGGCACCAGCCGACCAAGTTCCTCGCGGACGTCCTCGCTAGCGGCACTGATATCTGCAAGTTTTGTTCAACAGTCAGCCATCAAGATCCCCCTCTACTGTTCGTCACCGGCCTTCGTTACATGGGGATGGCCATACCCAACTTGACCTTGCGGAAGTTGACAATGACCCAGTTTTGCAGCCCGTTGCTCAACCGCGCCATACCGTCGCAGAAGACCTCGTCCGAGGTCTGCCCGCTGGTGCGCGTGCTTGTGCTGACAAACTCCTTGAGCCCGCGGACCTGGGCGCGCAGCTCGGCAGCCTCACGACGGAGGGCATCGCGGTCGGCGTCGCGGGCCTCGGCCTCCTGACGGAGCAGACGTAGCTCGGCGTCGGCGCGAAGGAACTGCTGGTTCAGATCACTGTGCTTGGCTTGCCAAAAGACGGCCGTCTCGCTCTCGTTCTGCGAGAGCTTGTCGAGCTCCCGCGTGAACTCACGCTCCATGATCTCGAGCTCCCGTTCCAGATGCGCTATCCGCGCGTCCTTGTCCTTGGCGCTGCTGTTACTGCTGCCGCCGGATGTGTTGCCTACGCCGGCAGAGGTGCCATCGGAGGTCTCCTTCTGCTTCAAGTCCTTGTCTTTGGCGTCCCTGCTGCTGCTGCTTGGCGGCGGGGCGGCGGCAGCGGAGGCATCTTCAGGGTTGGGGCTCGCGGAGGCGTGGTGGGCACGTGGAGGCGGGGCGATGATGTTCGCGGCGCTGCTGCTGCCCCTGCGAGGGTTCGAGACGACGTGGGTGCTGGTGCCGCCATGTGACGGCGTCTTGTTTGAGGAAGAACCGGGGTTTCCGGGAGCCTTATGGCCGCCACCGCTGGTATTGCTGTCCTTGCTGCTTCCACCACCACCACCACCACCACCACCGCAGCCGCCGCCGCTGCCATTGCTGATGGTGTTGCTGCCGCCGCCGGGAAGGAAGGAGCGGCGCTTCTCCGCCGATGTCGTGGACATGCGACCGAGCTTCTTATCTTTCGTCATGGGGACGGCGCAGGAGGAGAAGAATACAGCTGTCCTGGTACTGCATGTTGGGGAGATAAAAGACGAAGTTAGGCGTGAAGGAGGGGGAGAATCTGACGGGCCTGTTTTTTTTTTCTTTGCCTTTCTCCCTCCCCTTTTCTCGCTTATGCGGAACTTATCTCTGTTTTTTTGGGCTGGAGAGAGCGTCAACGTCAAAAAGCTGGAGGAAGGCGAAAGAGTCGGGCGAGTCGTCGGTTCCCTGGCCTTGGCCCTTGGGGGGGAGGCAAAATGGCGACTCGAGATGGTTGGTCGGTGCTTTGTTAAACGGAAGTGATGCCAGCTGGGTTGAGGAGTCGTCGCAAGTATTATCGTAGTACATCAAAGCCCCCCGTCCTCCGCCCCCCTCCCAGTGATGTAAGGTTGCCATTGGGGTCCGTAGCTCCCCGCCGGAGCGGTATTTTTAGCGGCCCGCACGCTCGGGGGCTGAACGGTGGAGGGCCTGTGTGCGGTGGGTTTATCGCTTTGCTGCGACTCAACGTCCCCATGGAGCCCTGTGAAGGGATGCGCGTTTTCCAGAGCAATACTTGCGCTCGAGATTGGCAGAGCCGAATTTTTGGTCGAATCACGAGCACTACCCTCGATTCTTTGCATTGAATTCGATCGTGCAGCCCAACCCGTCTCATTTCAATTGCTGTTTCTGGCTGACAGACAGGCTCCAGTGGGTTCAGAACCCATCCTGCCAAAGCTTCCTGAAGCGCGCAACTAACACCAGAAAGCTTTATATTCCGCATGGTACAGACATCTTCTTTCTTTTAGACCTTGCGATGCTTCTATCTCGCTTGGAACAAGCTCTGAAATGTGCCTGGCCCTTCAAGTATAACCCAAAGTCACCTGCTTCCAGAACCAAACCCATATGAGGTATTACATAAAGATTGGGTGGGCGCTGGATTCAGAAGTCGGCCTCAGCCTCGACTTCGTATTCCTGATCGTCTACACCCTCAATCTTCTTGGCCCCCATACGACATATGGCAATTTTCTCCACGGGCACGTCTTCCATCCAAACATAGTCGTCGTATCGGTCGAGGATGTCCGTCGCATCGATCGTCAGCTTTGAGCCCTTCTTGCCTCGGGCGCCCTTGACGTAGATAGTGTTGACAATCGTAGCGTGCAGCAACAGTCCACGGTTGTCTTTGTCCATGACCCCGGCCTCCTCGAAGACGGCCCTAATCTTTTCGCAGAACGTCTGGAAGATGCCTTCGGAGTACGTCGGCGGCGCGTAGAGAACCGATGCTTTGCTAGGGTCGGCCTTGGGACCGGACTTCATGCAGTGTAAGCCGCGGAGCGTAATGTTTAACGAGGAAAGTGACGGGGTGGCTCCATGGACATTCGATGCCTGGGACGGGGCAGCCAAAGAAGTGATGGAGGACAAAGGCTTAATGCCGGCGAGAATCTCGCGAGGTTTCAGGCCCCGGAGAACTTCGATAGCTTTGTCGACGCCTTCATTGTTTGGGAAGCTCATAACGCCAAGGGTCAGGTGCAAGGTGCCGAGGGGGCGCACTGCGTCTGTTGGAATGGCGAAGCTGTCTTGACTGGTAACGTCCGCCTTGAAGGCGGCCAGGCTCTTGGACAGCTGAGGCCGCGAGGCTGGAGTGACAAGTGGGATGCATAAAAAGTGCGTTGGCGATGTCCTGGGACTCGGGCGCGGAGGCATGATGGTTTCTTTGGGAAGGAGGAGAGACGTTGGTGGTCTTGTTGATCTATTGCGGTTCGAGGCCGATCTGCTAGACCCGCTAGAACCCAACAGTTGTCCAATTCAAAGTGCGTTGAACAACGAAGAATAACCCGGTCTTCAGTGCTAAATTTACGATGATTGAGAATGCCTGTCAGCCACGTTAGACCTTGGTCCTTTGAGAGATCATACGAACAGAGACAATATCAAGCAGCGCGCTCCCACCGGACCGGCCCGCGGACCAGTACCTCAATGGTGCCTGTCATGCCCCTGTTTGTCGTCCAAAGCGGCAGAGCAAATCGCGATCTGTCGTGGACGCAGGCAATCTCTAGACCTTTGCGAGGTGGGTGGGTGCTGGACAAAAACCCGGAGGCGAGGCGTAGACTCTCAGTCCACCAGCAACCGCACAGCCACCGGGCCCGCGGGTTTGGGAACGCCCCAATAACCAGTCAGTATCTAGGGGGACGTGCAGACTTACGAGACTTGAGTTATGGCGTCAATTTGCCGATCTCTGGCCTGGGCTTCGTCACACCTGGCAATGATGTCAGTCGGTCAAGGCTGAATGGAGACCGCTCGGGTAGAATTCTGATGGGTTCCCCGCTGCCCGCACTGTGACACCGGACGAAGACCTACAGTTATCAGCTTGCATGCCCACCTATACCCGGAGGATCAAGCTATCCTCCGACACGAGGGGGGGGGGGGAAAGAGCAGCACACAACAAAACCTAACGGAACCCATCTGATAAGCAGGCCCAGTGGCTACCTTCACTTGGCCGAGGGACACAAACAGCCATTTCGGTGGGGTTTGTAAGGGTTGTTCACAAGGCAAAAGTTGCTCTCAAAATACTATTGCCCGTCTATCCAGCATAATATAGTAGCGACCGTATAAGCATGCTGTTAATTCAGGACTATAGCAGGCGTAGATGAGGATGCCCCCAACAAAAGCGCTCAGAACCTCCCTGTCGTCCAAGTTGGCTGCCCTTGGCCGTTCAACTAATCGTTCGTTTGCCCTCCAACAAGCAATGAGGGTCTTCCATGCGAAACCAATCCAGGTCACCGTGCCAAGTTTTCTTCGTAATTTAAATTCGTAAGCGTAGAGAAGGGGGTATGAAGAGAGGTAGGTTCATAAGCAAAGTGATCAAGGTCCACGGTAGCACGGTAATCGATGAGCCGCATAGCCCTCTTGAAAAGCGAGCTCCCCTTTCATGTTCCACGTCCTTGCGTCGCCACAGCCATTGTTTCTGATGCTGAGCGACGGCAGGCTGATGCTGGAACACGGAGCAGCGGCGTTGCCAGGAAGACTCTGTGATGGCTTTAGTCTTCTTCGTCTTCATGTTCTTCTTCTTCTTCTTCCGTGCCAAAGAACTTCTTCAGAAGCTTCTCGGCGTCCGCGTACTCCGTCTTCAGGGCCTTGAGAGTCTCGGTAATGCGTTTCAGGCACAGTTCCTCGTCCGTCTCCGGGGACCCATCCTCGTTCTCCTTCTTGCCGTAGCGCTGGATCTTTTCGCAGCTGTCTCTAACCTTGACAAGGCCAAGCGTGGCAGAGGAACCCTTCAGGAAATGGCCCAACTGCGACAACTTCTCGAGATCCTTTTCCTCTCTGTAGAGGTGAGAAGCAACGACTGTCAGCTTTTTGCAGGTCCGTGTCGAGACATTTCCTAGTACCTCGCAAGGCCGTATCCATTTTGTTGGTGCCGAAGATGAGGTCAGGGGAAGAAGAGAGGGGAGGGAGGGGGGGGAAGACAGAGTGGGGGTGATGATGCGACTCACAAGGCCGAGTCCATCGACTCAAAAGTTTCCTCTGCTTGCTCGAAGAAGCCAAACACGATTGACTGGCTGAAGTCGCGATCGTTCTCGTCCTCGTCCATTTCTAGAATTTGACCGAAGGTGACCGAGTCAATCGCGTCGCCAAAGTCGGGGGTGCTGAGGGGACCGTCATCGCTCTGCACCACACATCACACGTTAGCTCAACCCAGCCCTTGTAGCGCGAAAGGGAAAAAAAAACACCACCGACACAGGCATAAGGATGAAAGAGTTCAATCACATACCTTATCCTCTGAGGCAGGCATTTTGGCGGTTCAAAGTCTGGTCTGTTAGGCTTGTGTGGTTATGAGGCGTAATTGGGTGTGCAAGCAGAGCGAGTGAAGAGCTGGTTGAAGCGGTTTCGGTTAAGGGCGGTCCGAAGTGAGAGCACAGTGTGATTGGCGACAGCAGGGAAACGCGCGCGCAGGAGAGAGAGAGAGAGAGAGAGAGAAAGAGGAGAGGCTACCAAAGCGAAGATTCGGGTTAGAGACACAGGCAGACGCCAAGTAAGTGTTCAGTCAGGCAGTGGTGGATCCACGATGTGTGTGCGTGTGTAGGTGGGCAGGTGGATTTTGGAAAGAGAGGCTTCGGATTCTTTGCGCCTGGCTCTTGAGGATAGGCTGGGAGAGATGTGAGGTAAGAATGAGGAGAGGCAACGATGCCGGTGCTGCTATTACCGCCGTATGCTTCCGCCAGCGCTGCTGCAGGTGATGATGGCCGAGATATACCGCAATCACAGGGAGTGTGCAGCTCGGTGTGGATATTCGGGAAGGAGGACGAGGGAAGGGGTCAAGGTCGTGGGTATGATGGCGCACATACAACACAAATTACTTACAAAGACGAATGAGACTGAGAAGGCAGTGAAGCGTCTGTCGTGCTAGAGTGAGAGAGGGTCAGCTGTCGGGTCGGATTCTGGTGGGGGCACATATAAGACGACGAGAGAGAGCTGCTGATTTGTGGTAGAGTCAAAGGGTAGCAGTGAAGCAGGTAGGGCTTCCGAGGTGTCTAATAATTTTTCGGCGGGGGATGCAGTTAGTGATGTGGGTAAGTGGACTCCTTTTTAGAGGGGATGACTGCGTGTGGTGGGGTCGTGCAGCTGCGCCGGTGACGGCGGAGTACCTGGCTTCAAGTACTTTTGGTATTTCTGTACCAGACAATCTGTAGGCTTCTTTGGGGGCTGGACAGGGAGGGAGAGGAGAAGAGAGAGTGTGTGTTTTGTTCTGAAAGGGCGTAACCGGGCTGGGATGTGACGCGGTGCGGCGCCTTGCCTACTAACTAAATGGCCCGACTGTTGGACCAAGAACCTGACGTAATGGTTTGTAGCCTTGCGTGTGACGAAGATCTAGACGGGCACAAGAATGAAAGCTCCAAAGTACGGTGAGGGTTGCGACTTGAGTCGATGTGATGGCGGTGATGGGTGTCGACGACGATAAATAATATACTAAAGCCGGCGGCAAACCCGTGGCAAGGTAGCGGAGGGAGGCAGATGGTGAAGAGGGGTAGTTTGCTGTGGCCTTTCGAGCCTTTCGCACGAGAAAACCTGATGAGGTGAAGAACAGGTCGAGGTTGAGGTGTACCTGTGCTCGGAGCAGGTCCCGTCGGTCGAGTACTGGGAGGCAGTAAAGAAAAGAAGGGTCAGACGAGGTAAGGGCAAAGTACAGTGATGTAGGTACCTGAGCTAGCCTAAGGCAGGGTGAGGTAAGGCAAGGCAGGGCGGCATGACCAGAGAGGAGGAAGGAGAGGGGGGGGTCTGTGTGTGGTGTGTGGTGTATCCATAGTGTAGTTGATCTCTCGAAAGGGAAAGGGCGAATCTGGAACTGATCTCGAGTGTGATTTTTGGTTGGGGCCTTTGCCGGGAAGGGCGTGGAATAGCCGGTCCACAGGGCAAGCAAAGATAGGGCGTACCTAAACCTACCTAAGTGAATGGGACCTGGGACCTGGCCGAGCAAGATCAAGTCTTGGACAGGTAAAGCGCGTGCAGCTAACAACGACTTCCACTTGTTGTAAGAAGCTGCGTTGTTGTCCGTTGTGACCTAAAGATGGGCGGGAGGGTCGATGGAGGGGCGACGATGGAGGGGGAGGAGAGAAGGAGACAGGGGTATAGAAAAAGCAGGGTCAAGTGAGGATACGGCGGCGGGATTGGGCTGCTCCTCCTTTCTTGTTCTTGTTCTTGTTCTTGCTCTTCTCCTTCTCCTTCTCCTTCTCCTTCTCCTTCTCCTTCTCCTTCTCCTTCTCCTTCTCCTTCTCCTTCTCCTTCTTCTTCTTTGTCTTTTTTTTGCGCAGAGCTATTGTTGAGGATACTGCTTTCTTATATACGTTGAGTGCAAGAGCGGTGCGAGAGATACTCTGTAGACAGAGATGGAAGAGAAGAGATGGGGGGAGACAGGGGGGGAAAAAAGAAAAAGAAAAAAAAAACAAGGAGCCCTTGACCGAAGGAACAGCAGACTCAAGCTTTAGAACCGCGACAATTGTTCAGATCGTGAGCCAGGAAAACAAAATTGGACAAAAGTCAAAAGTGGGGGATGTGCCAGCGGAGAGATGGAGGAGGGAGATATACTGCCTACGTGTACATATACCTCTCTAGACATGTGAGTGGTGTGCGGCGACGACCCAAAGCGCTGGGATGTGATGCCAACCAAGACTGCAAAGCTACCTAAGGTTATGGCAGATTCGTGAAGCAGTAGAAGAAAATCGGAGGTTCAGGCAACTAGAACCGGGTGAAGGGCGGCTGGACTATCCACTAGACAAAGGTCTGGATGGGCCTGCTTGACCTCATTCCTAATAACCTGATAGAGACGTCGCCAAAGTTGCATCATTAGCCCTTGCCGATTTCAGGGTCCGTCCAGGTAGTGTGCCCCAGTCCCAGGCTGCAACATGGCCATTTTCCCCTTCACACTCCTCTCCTCTTGCTGCCTGTGCTAGCCTGGCAAAGGCACGCAGCTTATGGCCCTTCCTTAGTAGCACGCAAGGTAAGTAGGGGTGGGACGGAGGTGCATCTGCGAGGCGGCTTGTAGTTGCTGGGAAGAACCATCAAGCCAACGAGAACCCAGCAGGCGTCCCCTTACGTACGGAGCGCGCTGTGGCATTCATCTCCATTGTGCTGCTTCCCACTTAAGCGTTCCTGATTCATTCACTGACCTTACCTACCCTGACCTCCCACGACTCTAGTTAACGTAGCTCCGACGAGCTAGAGCCAACATCGCCGTCAGTATAAGCTTACCTTGAGGGCGTTTCCTCCCTTTTCTTCTTCAGAACACAAAAACCACAAAGTTTAGGGTGTTAGTACCTTTACGCCAGCGCGTAAAAAATTGGGAAATATTGCCTGGACTGATTCGTTCCACGTCCGACTACGCTCCAGCCACCGCTCTTTGGGTCCGGCCGCATCTTTCTCTGCTACGTTGGTCACAATACTGTCATCCCTTTGGCATGGCATGTCATCAAACTCCTCTATCGGTGTTGGGGCACACTCCAACCAGCCTTGCCGCTGCTTTCTTTTTCTCTACAAACACCTAAACCCTCGCTTGTCTGCTGCACTCGTTCGGTTCGACGATCTCTTGCCCATCTTCTCCCCCCTTTGCCTTCCCTCATGTGTTGTCTTGTCTTTTGGGGTCTAGACCCCCAAGCTGTTTCCACACTGGTCAAGTTTCTCGAAAGGATCATCGTATCCACGTCATGAGAATAGCCTGCCCGGTCCCCAAAGGCGCCAGACAAACACCTACTTCGCTTCAAGGCCCCCGACTTGCCGCTCGTGAGCTGACGACCTAGCACCTGCTGTCACTAGGTGGCACTCATTCCTCCTCTCGGAAAGCGTCTAGACCAAGGAGGGCGGTCATGGGGTTGTGGATCTACCTAGACTACCACCGTACAGATACAGTACCCGCTCCGGCCGAGACGGGCTTGACAAGCTGCCCCTCCGTGGACTGGCACCTCCTGGCATGTAACATGTAAACTATTTCGCAGGCAACCGGGATACATCGACCTTGCCAGGATGCTGCCCTGCATCACAAGCTTGACACCATCTGTAACCCTTTAGGCGGAGAGGTAATGATCGGCATGTTCCGTTGTTTTCCTCAGACTTCTTCTCACCACCCCGGCTAACTTAACATCCGTGTCAGTGAATATTGCCTCGTCGTCATTGGACTCCAGCGAGTCTGTCCCGGGGATACACCGTTACCCGAGACAGAGTGCGCGGAAATTTCACTTTAACCCGTCAGAACGACACCAGTCCTTTCCGACACCATAGTTTTCGGCTCCAAGACTTCATGATCCAAACAAGCAAGATGGTTTAGCTGTTTCGTCGGCGAACTCTCGGCGTCTAACTAGCCACAGCTCGACTCAATCTCGCCAAGACTATCTAGCTTCTCCATTGTGCTATGGCGGGAATGGCATCCTACATCTTCAATGGTGGAAGAGGAATCGGGCGTGACGATTAATGGGTAATTTCTCGATCGTGCGAGGCCGCCCTCATTGTCCTCCCCTTTTGGCGGTGTGGCAAATCGACGAGAACAATAATCGACCTGAGTTGTCGGCCTTTTCCGACACAGATAATCGCTATTCCACTCCGATGAGGAGGTCACCACAGTCAAGGGGTCAGGCTAGCACACAGTGGGCGGCGACATCTTGATAGGATTATCATGTGGGGGTGAGAGTTGGAAAAAGGAAAAGAGAGAGAGAGAGAATATCAGGACAGGTAGGGGAGAAGGCCGGAATTCAGGGTCCATACCCGTTGAACGACTTCGACGATCTGTTCCCGATTCAAGCCTCTTGGTTTTGCTGACAAGCCATTCAAAGTCACTCATCTCGTGCTGGCCAAGTGGCAGGGGATACGGCGAGCAACCGTCCCACACCGCTGCAGGATCATCTCAGAACGGCCTGGCGATAAAGGCTAGACTCTCTCGGCCGGCGATTGAAACCCACTCCCGAGTGTTTTTCTGCGGAAGAAGAAGGATCTCCTGGCCTATATCGCCAGTTTTGCATGTCTTGCCGATTATCCTCCGTGTTATGGGGCTCCGGTGAAATGGTTAAATGGCGAGGTGGAGCAGCTGCATATGCACTCACGTCTAGGGGCTGGAGCTAGGCCTCTTGCCCACACGTCATACCACACTTGGACGTCATCGCGGGTTGAACAGGGACCAGGGTACTTGTGTGGTAGGCGTTGCCGTTTTAGTTCACGAACGTCCGATGGCGGTTCACGGCTATCGATCTCAATGCCGCACCGCAGTAGCCGACAACCCAATGCTCGTGATACCTATTGTGCAGAGGCGACAACATCCTCTTGAGGCTGGGTTCAATTATTCAAGCCCTGCAGCATGATGGAACCATGGGGCATTGAGGCTCTGCTAACAGAAGTCCATAGAGTTGTGGCTGGCAGAGAACTTGGGAAAATCCAGCAGCACGGGACCGTATGTACTACCAGGGATGTCTCCGTGTTTTCCGGAGGCCCCGCTTTCCTTGACGGTTCGCTGCAATCGACTGGAAATCGTCATGCCGCCCGCTGCCTGAAGGTTTTGACTCCCACCCGTCTTACACATGGCGCAGAGTCCAAGCAATTTTTTTATTACTCTTTGTTGTTGGCACTCGCGCAACAACCTGCGCCTTCATCCCGCATTCTAGACCCTTACTACCTTTGGTGGGAGAAGAAGATCATCCATTTAGTCTACGGAGGTCCTGAGCTTTGATGTCACGCATGCGCCAATTCATGGAAGGTGACCAGCCTTCCTGCGGAGTCTAATTAGACAGATTGGACATCTCGATTCCTACCCCTCCAAGCTTCCCCTCCAGACTTCGATCGTCGCACAAGTGGAGGGGAAATAAGTATCGCACAACCACCAGGCAATATACGGTGACATCTGAGGTTAGTTCACTTAAAGCCACGTGGGTAGCGTGGGACAGTGTCCATATTCTTCTCTCAGCTTTCGAACCAGGTGACAAGGACTAGTCGGTCTAGAGATCTTCTTCGTTCACCACGAGGGTTACAATCACCTGAGGTGCTTCGACGAGTCTATCAGTGCTTGTGGACAGAAGGATCATTGTCACAATAGCCACAATCGCAGCTCTTGAGGCCCGAGTTTCGGTCAGGTCTGCTGGAAAACACGCATGACATAAACGGCCTTGAGAAAACCACTGGCTTCACCTTTCAAGAGTTTCTCCGCTATGCAGTTGGAATTGAGCTCCACCTTCTCCGACGGCACCCGCTGCGTGACCTGAATATCCTCCTTGCACATCATCGAAAGATCACGGAGTGCTAGCTGTCGAGCTGCAAAGAAGGGGGGGGGGTTGTCAACAACAGCCGGAATGTCGTGGGAGTGCTGATTCGGCGAGAGCTGGTTGCGAAACGTCGCACCGCGGGTGTCGACACCTCGCTCACCGTCTCGTGCTTTCGAGCCAATGTGCTAGGGACAACACAAGGTTTCCGCCAGCAGCTTCTGCATGCAAGCGCGAGGGGATGCTCCCAAAACCTGTTTTTGACCCTACCGTGCGGCCAGTAGTCTCGTTGCACCGGCTTGGCCGACAGCCATCGCTCTCTGGGGTGGGCTGGCAGTCTAGAGACGATGGTTCAGACGAAACTGTGACCACTCTCGTTGGCCTAAACCAGCCGGATCGGGCGCAATTTTGCCGGTTTGTGCTGTTTCCCCTGGTTTTTAGGTGGCCCCGACAAAAAAGCCAATGTTCTGATTAACGCTGGATGCGTAATGGCTGCGGTCTACCATGTGGAGAACGCGACATGACCGGAACCGGTAGGCTCGATCCCGCATTCCGGTGCACAGGTAGATAGATGGTCACGTGGTTCTCGGTATTTTGGGCTGAAAGCATGGAAACCGAAGGGTATTACTGCTTGCTATTTAGTTCAAACCAACGCGATTGTGCAAACCATTGCAAGTATTAGAAGAGACAATGGTTCCCATGATTGAGTGAACCTAGCGGTGTCAACACTTGGCCCTAGATCAGATAAATATGGCGATGCCGATATCGTTGGATGGATGAGATGCCCACAGTTCAACACCTAGACCCATTGGCGAGCGAGGACTGGTAGACCATGAACCAACAGACCACGCCCAGCGTGCAGACGCGAAGCTGGCTCCCCTGCGGAACGTCGAGTCTTGTCGATGGATACGGCGGAAACGTGACGTGGGGCCATTGAGCGAACGAGAGAATATACCCTGCCTTTTTTTTTCTTTTTCTCCGGGCCGCCGGGGTGCCCAATTAGTCTAACGGTAAAGCTTCGGTCCTGCTTATGGCTGCCGTGATGACCCACATCACCGTATTCCCAAGGGTCAAATGTCCGGTCAATCGCTCCATGAGCCAAATTCTTTGCTTTTCCCTTATTCCTTCAACTCCCTCCCCTTGTCCGATTTCACAGCAAAACCTTGGTGGCCACGCTGAGCAACCATGCGGCATCCTGCCAGCCACCCTCGTTGGCTTTTGGGGGCGGGATCAGGCCTTCCGGAGCGTCGATAACGCTCTCGAAATGACGGGCTGACCACGACCGGTGGAGCTCCCGCGCCCCCTCCTCATCACCCTCGACCTCGAACTCCCCGTCGGCGTCTTCATCGTCCGACTCTTCCTCGTTCTCTTCAACTGCGAACAACGGCCATCCCAAGAGGTTACCGACCCAGGAGGCGCCACCGGCTCTTTCCCCCTTGACGAGCCTTCTGACGGCAGCCTCGTCATCTTGCGTTGTGTCAGGTTCATAGGACTCAAGCTGCTCGTCGAGATTGACGAAGTCGGGGCCAGGGATATAGTCCTCGCCTTCGTGACGAGGGAAGTATCCCTCGTCCAAGGAGTGGCGTTCCATGGGTGTCAACATCTGGCTCCGGTTGCCGACTCTGCTGGCCGACCGACTCCCAGGACGGCTAGGCCTGGCGGAGTGGGTATAGGCGCCGTCCAGGTCGACGAGGCTGCCGCGCCGGCTGCTCCGACGGCTGGCAAGCTCTCGCTCCCGGGCCAATTCCCTCTCGAAGGCCTCCTCATCGGCGTCCCGCATACCCGTCAAGCTGGTAGAGCTCTGTCTCGACACCAGCCACGCCTGACCTTTGAATTCGCGGTTCTCGTTGCTGATGAGCGCGCCTGTTCTCAGCAGCCAGTCACTGTCGTTCCGGTCCCGGACAGAGAAGTCGTCCTTGTCCTTGCGGCGACGCACCGCCGGCGAGGTGGTGCCGGAGACGGATTTGCGGTTGTGGGATTTCCGATCGCTGGCGGCGGGCGCCAAGTGGGTGGCTGACTTGCTCTTGGGCAGGTCGGCATGCGGCACAGAGGAGCGGCGGACGTGAGAAGCGGATCGGGCGGGCGAACGGGACAGCAGGCCCGGCGTAGTGGGAGCGGACTTCCCCTCCAGGTAGGATGTGTTGTGGTGCGGCGAGGTCAGGTAGTCGGGGAGGGCATCGTCGTCTTGGAGGGGCAGCCTCGAGGTGAAGGGAGCGAGGGAGAGGTGGTTGAGGTTCGTGCTGGAGCGGTTCTTGCGACGCGCTTGGTTTGCGTACTGTTTATAAGCCTCCTCCATGATTCTGGATGTGTCGAGTTCTCGAGCTTGCCGTCCGGTAGGCCTAGAAAGATGGGGACAACGAATTCGATAAGCGACGGCGATACGAGCAAGGCTTAGATTATAATGAGTTTAGTTCGACAGGAGCAAAAGGTAAGGCAGACAGGCATGTAACTGGGGAAAAGGAGGGGAAGGGTCAGGAGTTCGGGTGGTTTTTAAAAAGGGTTGGGACGCTTGTTGAGGGAAACGCGGGCAAGACTGGCCATTGACGGGCAGCAGCAGCAGCAGTAGACGCAAGGAGGAATGCAAAACCGCATATGCGCTAATGGCAAAATCCGGGGACAGTAGAATTTTGGCTGCCGAGGGATCGGCTCATCTGTGATTTGCTGATCGGTTTCGGCTTCTACTCTGCGGGGAGTGGGCGAAAAGGAGGAGAGGACGGAATGCGTGATTACGTAGGTACCTCGGTACATGAGCGTGCTCGAGTAATGCTACGCGGTGGGAGGTATTCGTACCCATCTCAATTCATGCAGACCATTCATGAGCAGAAGCACCGGGCGCTGGAGCCTCTTCCAGACCTGTTTTCCCTGGAGAAAATGCAACGAGGTCTGCGGCGAAATGAGCTGATTCTAGTACGAGGCTTGCGAGAGAAGTCTGTCTGTCCTGCATTTCATGCGTAGAACTCCGTTGGGCGTCAGGCGAGGGCTGTGGCAAGATGTGTGGTCAATGGCATGTTTTTCTGACTCTCACGCTCTCCTTCTTTCGTTGGATATGCATGCATTGCATCAGAGGGACACCGCGGTATGTGTTTGTGAGGTTCATGCTTGCTTTGCGTTAGAAAGTCGGAAATGACCGTCACGAAAAGTTCCGTTCGAGGAGATAAGCTAGATGTTGCAAGTAGACGCTGAGCTCAAGCCATTGTCTGAAAATGTCGATTAGTTGGATGCTAGCGGCCAGGAAATCCTAGAAGAGGCGAGCTTGTGTGAATCAAATTGTGAAGTGTGGCTTGGGCGGGCTGTTCCCCTGAATTTGGCGATCTGGGAAACTTAGATTAATTAGATGAGAGAGTGTTCGTTGTCGCTCACAAAAAATCGAAGCGGCCGAGGGGGGAGAGGGGGGCGGCTTGGACCCCGCCAAGGTACCAATGTACCTACTACCAAACGGCGTGGTGGAGGCAGCCCTTTTTGGATTTTTAGTTACCGGGTTAAAAAAATTAGTGCAGCGACGGATAGCGCAGATGACGCTCGACGACGACGTCGACTCACACAGCAAATCTCGCGACCGAGGCAGCCCATGAACTCCCGAGCATAACCCGGACGCGACCGACACCCTACTTCCCCTTTATGCCCTAGAGCGACATTGCGCTCTTTACAAGAGGCACAAGATGCGGAACTTGCGCAACATTCGGTTCGGCGCTTGGGATCAGCAGCAACAGGACGTCACTATCTCGGCGTGCTGCTGGGACCCCGCCAAAGACGAGCTTCTCTGCACGACTGGGCCGACGGAGACGAAAGCTACCATTGAGCTGGTGAGGCTATCGGACCACCACCAACAACAGCAAATGTGTGGCGCCATTTCTTGATTTATCCCACGCTCCTATTTTTTGCAATCCCTGTTTCACTACAACGCCCTTTATCCCTCGGGTATTATTCCTGTAAAACATCTTCAACCCCCCTCCCCCCAAATCATGTAACAGAACTAGGTCGAGTCGTGTCTCTGGTTCCAGGGTATCATGGACATGGGGATGATGATGTGGCCTGGCTGTTGAAGACATAAAACTTGAGACGGCTAACATGACTTCGCAGTAAATCCCGTACCGTCACGAGTTGGGATGCGCCGAGTCCCAGTCCGGAGCTGCCCACAGACAGGGTGGTAGACCTGCACCACTTCGCCGACAGCCTCGTCACCTGCGTCATCCTTGAAGGCGGCGATATCGTCACCGTAAAAGAGGATGACGCGGGCCTGGATGGCGACGTCCAGATCGAGATTGTTGGCTCCATTGACGCCGGCATCGCCGCTGCCCGGTGGTCCCCGGAAGAGGAGCTGCTCGTCGTCGTCACCAAGGAGGGCAACGCCGTCTTCATGAGCCGCACCTTCGACCCCATCGCCGACGTCGCCATGACGGCTGACGACCTCAAGCTTTCGAAGCACGTCTCCGTCGGCTGGGGCAAGAAGGAGACCCAGTTCCAGGGCAAGGGCGCCAAGGCGATGCGCGACCCGACGATTCCTGAAAAAGTGGACGAGGGCCTGCCGAGCATCAATGAGGACGGCAGCGCGGCGGTCAGTTGGAGGGGAGACGGTGCCTATGTCGCCGTCAACTCTGTCGCTGGTGGCGCTAGGAGGGTCGTGAGGGTGTATTCCCGTGAGGGCGTTCTCGATAGCGTCAGCGAGCCGGTGGATCATCTCGAGGGTGGTCTGAGCTGGAGGCCTTCTGGAAGCCTTATAGCGGGTGTCCAGCGGTTTGAGGATCGGGCAGATGTCGTCTTCTTTGAGAGAAACGGTCTGAGGCATGGCCAGTTTACGCTCCGCTGTGGTGATGGGCCCCTGGACGCCCATGAGAAGATCAAGCTGGAATGGAACTCTGACTCGACTGTCTTGGCCGTGATTCTGAGTGATAGGATACAGTTATGGACGACTGGCAACTATCACTGGTATCTCAAGCAAGAGGTGCCATTGACGTCCGAGTTTTCTGGGTTGGCGTGGCACCCGGAGAGGCCGCTGCGATTTGTTGCTGCCACAACATGTCGGTCTAATCCCCTTCCGTGGTCAGATGTGATATACTAAAGAGGATACAGCTGTCGTCAATGTGGCCGAGTACATCTTCGCTGTTTCTCGCGGCTCCTTGAGCCCGCCCAATGATCATGGCGCCGTTGCAGTCGTTGACGGCCAGACAGTCAAGTTGACCCCTTTCCGAACGGCGAACGTGCCGCCACCCATGGCCCTTTTCGAGCTCGAATTTTCGGCCAGCGTCGTCGACGTCGTGTTTGACCCCAGCAACTCCCTCATGGCGGTGCTGCATCGCAAGGGTCTGGATATATATGGGTGGCAAACAAAGGGAGAGCGATCGAGCAAGCCCAAGGAGTTAGCCAAGGTTGTGTTTGAATCTGATGCTAAGGGCAAGGTTCCTCTGCAAGTTGCATTCTCTGGTCCGGCCGAGTGTCAGGTCCTTGTCTCTGAGGAGGGGTTGAAATTGGAGACGTACACCGTTGAGGAATCCGCGCTTAGCTCTTTGGGAGTGACTCAGCTCAAGCCTACGGAGACGTTTTCGTCGATTTTCAGCTACGAGGGCGATTCAAGGGTTGAGGCCTGCGCTCAAGACCGCTCGGGAAGGCTCTACAGGCTGGCGAATAAGCAAGCCCCTGAGCTTTTGGATACTCAACTGTCGATGCAGCTCCCATGGTGTACGGTGCAGAAGATCAAGGGACACAGAGTTGGCATCGGCATGAGCAGAAACGGTCATCTCTATGCGAACTCGAGGCAACTGGCGAAGAACTGTACGTCGTTCGTGGTCACCCCAGCGCATGTTATCTTCACGACGAACAACCACTTCCTCAAGTTTGTTCACTTGGTGGATCCTGAGGGTGAGCCACCCATGCTCCCGAAGTCATCCGTAGACACACTTACCTTGTTACAGAGATGGAAGTTCCCGGAGATGATCCAGAGATTGATGAGCGATGCCGCAGCATTGAGCGCGGTGCTCGCCTCGTCACAGCTATGCCCACTAACATGAGTTTGGTCCTCCAGATGCCGAGAGGCAACCTTGAGACTATCTATCCTAGAGCCATGGTAGTTGCGGGTATCAGACAGCTTGTCGACGAGAAGAACTACGGCAGGGCATTTGCCTTCTGCCGTACGCAGAGGGTTGACATGAACATCCTTTACGACCATCAGCCGAGCCAGTTCCTATCTAACGTTGGTCTCTTCCTCGATCAGCTCAAAGATATTTCGTACATCGACCTCTTTCTGTCATCTCTCCGGTAGGCTCCCATAAACCCCGCCATGGCCTTGCGGGAAGGAGGGAACTAACTCGAAATAGGGAGGAGGATGTCTCTCAGACAATGTACAAGGACACCAAACGCGCAACCAGATTTCTCGAAGCATCGGCAGAACCCCCCGCAGCACCCACAGACCTGTCCAACAAGTCCAAGGTCAACAGAATCTGCGACGCCATTCTCAAAAGCTTGCAAAGCAAGAAGGGCACAAACCTGCAGAATGTCATCACAGCGCACGTCTGCAAGGTCCCGCCAGCCCTTGACGATGGACTCACCCTTGTCGCGGAGCTGATGCAGGAAGACGAGAAAATGGCAGAGAAGGCTGTCGAGCACATCTGTCTCCTCGTTGATGTCAACCGTCTCTATGACAATGCCCTCGGCTTGTACAACCTCGATCTCGCCCTGCTTGTCGCCCAGCAATCGCAGCGTGACCCAAGAGAATACCTTCCCTTTATCCAGAACCTCCACAAACTGCCCGATCTGCGTCGAAAATTCGAGATCGACGACCACCTCGATCGCCGGGTCAAGGCTCTCTCGCACCTCAAGGCCCTCGACGCCTTTGAGGAACTATCAAAGTATACCGTCAAGCACGCCATTTACCAGGAAGCCCTCGGCTTGTACAGATACGACCAGGCACGCCATCAGGCCCTCACGGGTCTGTACGCGAGCTACCTTGAATCCAAATCGAAATACCGCGACGCCGGCCTCGCCTACGAGACCCTCCAGAACTTCAGCAAGGCTACAAGCTGTTACCGCCAAGCGGGTGTGACGTGCTGGCGTGAGTGCCTCTTTGCCGCACAGCAGCAGATGCCTCCACCTTCCGAAGAAACCATCACGGAGCTGGCCTCCTCTCTCGCCGACGCCCTTTGGGAAGGCAAGGAGTACGCCGCCGCGGCCACGATCCATGTCGACTACCTCGCCTCCCTCGAGACCGCCGTCAAGTGCTTCTGTAAAGGCTACCACTTCGCCGAGGCCCTCCGCCTCATCGCCCGCGAGCGTCGTCCGGACCTCCTCCCTACGGCCTTTGACAGCGGCCTCGTCGAGGCCCTGAGCAGCAGCACCGAGTTCCTGGCCGATTGCAAGTCCCAGCTCCTCGCCCAGGTGCCACGCGTCGCGGAGCTCCGTAGGAAGGCCGCCGAGGACCCGCTCGCGTTCTACGAGGGTGAGCGCCCCGGCGGCGTCGGCGGCGACATCCCTGACGACATCTCGGTGGCGGCGTCGTCACGCATCAGCACCAGCGCCAGCCTTTTCACGCGGTACACGGGCAAGGACGGCAGTGTCGGGACCGTCGGCACGGGCGTGTCGCGGGCGACCTCCAAGAACCGCAAGCGTGAGGAGAAGAAGCGCGCCCGCGGCCGCAAGGGCACCGTCTACGAGGAGGAGTACCTCGTCAACAGCATCCGCCGGCTCGTGGAGCGCGTCGAGGGTGGAGCCAAGGATGAGGTCGGCCGGCTTGTCTTCGCGCTCGTGCGGCGCGGCATGACGGAGCGCGCGAGGGCTGTCGAGGCGCTTATGGCCGAGGTCGTCGAGGGGTGCCGGGCGGCGGTGCGCGAGGTATTCGCCTCCGCCGCCGCCGAGGAGGCACAGGAGGAACAGGACCTCGTCGGGCCCGACGGGGAGACGTACCTTGTTTCCGGCGGCGACGCCGTCTTCTACGAGCATCTGCAGGCGAGGACCAAGAAGTTGGAGCCACCTGCCTTGACCACGTTCCAAAAGTTGACGTTGTTGGGGTCAACATAGAGTAGAGTCTCGTAGGCCTAGAGGGAAAGAAAAAGTAATAGATGAAATAGAAATGCCTTCTTACAAGTCTTGTATGTTTTGCGTGTTCTACTAAAAGTACAATATTGCACATTTGGGATTCTGCTATGGCTGTTCATACATGCTACATCTCGTCCACACGCGTCCCCTTTCTTTTTTTGCTTTCGAGACCCCACACAACTTTTAACCAACACCAGCGTCCGCGCCCGCGGCCGACCCCTTATTGAGGCGGAGGGTGACTCTCCTTGGCCGCTTCCGCCGCCGCCGCGGCAGAAGCGTTGGAAAGCTCTGGTATCGACACAGAAGCGCCCCCGACAGTGGCCTTGTTCCTCGCAATGACCTCGCCGATGCGCTGAAGCATGTCCGCCGTTAGCTCGGGCTCGCCGCGGGCGCGACGGGCCTCGCGCTGCTGGCGGTTAAATTCTTGGAGCGGGGTGCGCATGGAGGCGAGGGCATCGGCCGAGACCTTCTTCAAGGCCTTCTTCTCGGCCTCCTCGGCCTCTTTGCGGAGGATGTAGTCTTCCTCGTGGCGGGTACGGAAGCGCGAGTACTTGTTGCGCAACTCATCGATGACGGACTCGGGCATGGGAGGAGAGAGGAGCGTCGGCACGAAGGTAACCTCCTCAACCTCTGTCCGCCTCGTATCGCCGGGCTGGTCCTCGCGGATAGGGGTCTCGCGCTCCGGCCAGGGAATGGCGATGTTGGCACCGGGAATGTACCGCGTCCAGGCACGCCAACCGGTGTGACGAGACCACTTGACGGGGCCACGGGCGAGCTGGCGAACAATAACGTCGCGGGCGACACCCGTCGCGGGGTCAACGATGGGGTGGACGAGGCGGATCGCCGAGATGGGGATGTGCATGGATGAGTTCTGCGTGGTTGGGGCGTCGAGGCCCTTTTGGAAGGTTTCGGGGACAGCGACAGTGATCTGGAGGAGGGCAATTGGTTAATCACAAGATCATTTGTGTGTTGTTTTTCGGTGGGATACGGAATAGCTGTCTTTGGCCCACCTTTGCGATGTCCTTCAGTGTCACGGTGCCGTGTTCGAGGTTGATGCTCGCGATGCGGTCGATCTTGCCCTTGTCGGGGCCTTCGAGAAGCACAACACGGTCATTGACGGCAATGTTGAGGTACTGACGTCCACCGGCCCAGGCGCAGCGCGCTTCAACCTCCTCAGGCTTGAGGGGCGTCGAGCGTGACTGGCGGTTCGTCTGGATGGCGCCGTAGCTGTCGAAAACGTCGCGGCGCGGGGCCAAGGGCCCAAGGGCCCATTTCTCTTGGCGGACAAGACGGGCGGTCTTGATATCCTTATTAAGCTCCGTGAGCTGGTTCCGCTGGTCCCTGAAGCGCTGTGCCTTCTCGGTGCCGACCTCGACACGGGAGCGTTTCTTGATACGGCGGGCGACCTGCTTCTCGGCCTGGGCCGTGCGTTTCATGAGTTTCTGCATCGTCGGGGGCAGATTGGCTTTGCCGCCAATTGGGGTCGATTCGGGCCTCGTTCGATTCGGTTGATCAGTACCCGGGGGTCTTCGACGTTCCTGAGGTTCGGCGGCGGGTTTCGGAGGGGAGGGTGTCGGCGAAGCTGGAGCCGCGGTGGTCTGTCGTCGACGTCCTTGAATTGGCGATTTGCAAATTTCAGATGGGCCGGGAGCTCCCACGACCCCTGCAGCCATAGTGGAGCCGGGGTGCTTGGGTCGGAAAATTGCACTTGCCGATACGCCGGGCTGGACGTCCAATCCAACATAGGTGGGCTCTGGTTGCCATCCCATTTCCTTGGCTTGGCAAGGGCTGTAGCGCTACAGGCTACATACTGAGGGACGGATGAATGAACAGATGCCAGAACCTTCACGTCCCCTACCCCGAGATGGCGGTAAGTCTCCGCCGGCCGGACACTGGGTGAAATTCGCAGTCCCAATATGTATGCTCGTGCTGGCGTAGCTCCAAAGACGAACTCTAACCTGATGCCTCCTCTGTTGACGAAAGACAACCCATGTCTGATTCGGGAATCTCGGGCGCTGCAGCGTCTACTCTGTTGCAAAGTTCCACGGCAGAGACGACCGCCTTCTCACGCACGAGAAAGGGAGGCTACGGTCCGGAAATGGAGGTCCTCTCTATCAGCAACATTCAACGATGATTCTATCACCCCTCATGCATGTGGGGGCAGACTGCTTCATTGTGTGCTGAGACCTTGGTCTTGGAGTGTTCAAGTCAGTGCTCATGGCAGACATCTCTTTCAGATGATGAGTTTGTCCCCTATCGGCGCCAACTCATTATTAGGCATCATCCTTCAACTCATGGGATTGCCTAAGGTGGTTGATGATCCAAGACACCTGCACATCCTCCCGAACCTCTCTACTGATTCTTCGCACACAGAGATGGGCGGCTACACACTTGGAAATGACCGTCATGCTGAACTCTAGAATGATGGAAGCTGTTAGTTCAGACCCAGACACTCAGGGTCGCGGTCGGTAACTGTTTGTCAAAGACGCGCAGCGGCCCATCAGCCGAAAGTCTAGTTCCGATGCACAGTCCCTAGATGCCAGGTACTATAAAGTGGCTGGGATCAAGTCCTAGATCCAGGACTCTGCTATGTACCTCCTCAGCATGCGGCACAAGAGCGTCTTCTAGGGGGTCGTTACGAGGTACATATTCATGCAGCTATAGAACACAAGCCAACACGAGCTTCTACAGCTCCCCCTTTCCTGCCTGAGCTTCTCGTAATATTATGATGCCTGCCGGGGTGGGGGGGAGAAGGAGAGCAGGGTGGAGCCAAAGTTTATCAAAAACCGAAGAGCAGTGTATGATTGCTGCATTCCTTGCTATCAATGTTTTCTGTCAGCTCATGGTGTCAAATCATCACAGGTGGTTGACAGTCCGCTACGCTGCAGGGCGCATAGAGATGATCAATGATATCCTCCTCCACGTAGCTATCCATGTGGGCGCATATGCACGAATGGCTGGAGAGCATGGCGGGATAGCCTGGGGTTCGTGCAGGCTAAGACTCTACAGTTCCAGCAAAATGCGAGAAGGCTACGCAGGGCGGCGTATCATTATCGAGCAATGTGTCCCTCGGGTGCCTTGACCACAAAAGTATTGAATCATGGAAATAGAAGCAGGAGTGATCATAGGACGTCTTTAGTGTTCGTTTCTGTGGCTTCGCCTCTCGCCGACGCACCCCAATGCCAATATGTACCTAAACAGATGGTTCGACTATTATGAGATCCAGCATAAGCAGTCAGTGCCGAGCCGAGGCTGTGTCTGTAAGCAGTCTGTCATTGTTGTGGCTGCTGGTCGGTGTGATTGAAGACGACAGCCGTTCGACTGCGACACACACGACGAAATGAGAATCTCACTGAGCCACCATAGAATGGGTTTCAGTCCAGGCTTGGACCCTGGAGGCAGCAATTTTGGCCCAAGTTCCCGGCGGTGAACATTCCTATTTATGCTTTGAACAACGTAAAAGGGGCCTGGAGCGACAAAGGGTCGGATGTCAGATACCTATGCGATTGACGCCGTAGTCTCGTCTGGTGTTGCATATTTCGCTGCACCTAGTGCCTGCCCCTAGACGTTGCGCTGTAGGGGAGTGACATGTCCTGGACAGGTATCCGTATAACCTGAGCGAATAGGACTGGCAGGGCTGGGGGGTCTGAGGACAGGCGTGTTCTGCATCGGATGTTTGGGTGAGGAGGGTAACTGAGAGTCTGAGACCTTGGTCAGCTCGGCATTAGAGGCTCTAGTCGTCACTTGTAGCCTGCATTGCGAGCCTGGTCTGGTCACAGACACCGATATTGCAGATCAACCACTATCAGTGCCAGCTTCCCTGCCTTATCGCATCACTTTCGGCTTCTACCTCAGCCACTTGCACCTCGTTGTTCTTTACCAACGACGATCTTTCTGCTTGCCAACTCAGCGAGTCTGACCGAGGCACAGTGTCCTTCCCGGGAGTCTTGTCAACGGCTGCAGTTGCAGCTTGCTATACGAGTGCAACAGTGCAAACGAGCAAGCAAGCATTCCCAAAAGCCATGGTTATTCCTCCCACACCCTCGCAGACCGTCAGAAGCAGCCCGTCATAGTGCATATCGAAGTATGGTTTAGCGGGCGAGATTCCTACAAGGCCAGCAGGACAGGGGCCAGTGGAGAACGCAGTAGTGGAAGTTGCCACCCAATTAAGAGGTCCAAGAGTGAGGGAACACCCCCCAGAAACCACCCCCCGCCCCTGTATCCGTAACGGCCCCTTCCATCCAAATCGCAATTCAATTCGTCTTGTTTGGCTGCCTCAGGACAAGAATCCCCTACCTTAATAATGAGGACCATATGCGCATCTCACTCACTCACCTGCAAACCGGGACAGCGAAAGTGCTGCATGTATGGTTCCCACAGCAAAAGGATACCTGGTCCTGGTACGTTAGCTTACGAAGAGGGAGAGAGAGAGAGAAAAAAAAAGAAGAAAAAAAAAGAGAGCCGGCTCCCTCTCGTCACATTCACTGGTCGGACAACCCCGTTGTCTCGTCTCTACCAGAGGCTAGTCATAGGCCGATCAAGTCATTAGCCAACTGAGCCTACCCTGCTGCCCAGTCCCGTCACCGTTCAGCTGGGAAGCACACACCATTGGCTATGCCACTACTCCGTACTAGGTACGTTAAACGCACAGCCCAGCAGCAGGAGGTACCTGATGTTAAATATTGAGAAACCCGCTATCAGTAGCATGGCAACATCTAACTCCCCCTCCTCTGCCTTGCCTCACCTCACCTCCAAATGAATCAAAGGTACCACATTAGGTACCTACGTCGGTTGTACATGCCTCATGCCAGTCGATGATGCTAGCCGGCTCGTACTTGCTGTCCCTACCAACTAATTACTGCCTATTGCCTGCTCAGGTTTGCTTTTCTCTCCTTTGCTTCACTCTGAGCTGCTTTTCCCCTCTTTCTCTTATTTCAACCTGTATACCTGCCTGCCTGTTTGCCTAGCGTCAACAGTGACGGGAAGAAAGTCAACAAATCCTTCTTAGACGCCGCGAAGAAAAAAAAAAGCCTGGACCACCTGTCCTGCACCTGCGTGCACCTGCAACCTGAACCTCCATCCAAGGTACCTACCTACCTAAGGTACGGATACCTCACATTGCCTTACCCCCTAGTCGCCTTTATACGCGGTACCTAGGCTCGTCTGCGCCTGCACCACCCTGTCCTCCATAGTCCTGCCCAGTCCTGGCCTGGCATTCTTTCGTGCCTCCCCACCCCCCAATCTTTGTCTCCCTCTGCCACTAGGTATTGCTTCCAGGTCTCCCGCTCTCCCGCTGGTTCCCTTCCTTTTTCTCCCCTTCCCGCCTCTTCTGACCACCCCCCCCCCCCCCAACACAAATCTGCCCTGCTGTTGCTTGCACGTCGTCAAGTGAACTCCACCCATAAGGTACTACTGTGACCTTACCTTACTTCTACCCATCCCATTCTCTTCCACCTTCAGATTCCCCCTTCCGACGCAGCTCTTCCTTCTCCATCTCCCACGTATCCGCCAACAAGCTCAACCTCGTCGCCCGACCGCATCGCATTTCAATCAGCTCTCCATCGCAACACCTACACGCCCTCTCTCGCACATTCACAACCACAGACATCATGGCCGAGATCCGCCGTAAGCTCGTCATCGTCGGCGACGGTGCCTGCGGTAAAACCTGCTTGTTGATGTGAGTATTGTCCCCGTCTTCTTCCTCTCCGCCCACGCCTACCGCCCACCGCCTGGTCTTCAGCGACGAAACAATCCTGTATCGTCGCATTGCCAGAAACTTCTCAAAACAAAAACCACGGATGCAATCTTGCATCGTCAAAGGCTTTATCGTGCTGACTTTTTCTGTACAGCGTCTTCTCCAAGGGCACCTTCCCTGAGGTAAGATTGCCCTCTCCTACGCCGACGCGGCCATCTGCCCCCTGTTTCCCCGACACGAGACCAGGCTGAGCTGCATCAGCCCATCAACAAGCTAGGCCTCCTATAACAAACCCGCCTATCATGAATCCTTCTCCGATCCTCAAATATTCTGACAACTAATTCAGGTCTACGTCCCCACCGTCTTCGAGAACTACGTCGCCGATGTAGAGGTTGATGGCAAGCACGTCGAGCTGGCCCTTTGGGATACCGCCGGCCAGGAGGATTACGATCGTCTCCGTCCTCTTTCCTACCCCGACTCCCACGTCATCCTGATCTGCTTCGCCGTCGACTCCCCCGACTCCCTGGACAACGTTCAGGAGAAGGTACGTTGTGCCTCCAATTTTCGGGCATTATCCACTGCTCTTGATATGCAACATTCGCTAACACGTGCTCTTCTTCCTATAGTGGATCTCTGAGGTCCTGCACTTCTGCCAGGGTCTGCCCATCATTCTTGTCGGTTGCAAGAAGGATCTCCGCTACGACTCCAAGACGATTGAAGAGCTGCGTAAGACCAGCCAGAAGCCCGTATCCCCTGAGGAGGTAAGCTTATCCGCCCCTATTGGGGCATCGGCCGCGCCAGGCGTCGCCCCCAGATGCTTGACGGCCTCCCGCCTCGGTCTTACGCGAATGCATGCTAACAATATTTTTAGGGTGAGGAAGTCCGCAAGAAGATCGGCGCCTACAAGTACCTCGAGTGCTCCGCCAAGACAAACGAGGGCGTCCGCGAGGTGTTCGAGCACGCTACGCGCGCCGCTCTGCTCTCCCGCAGCCGGAGCAGCGGCAAGAAGCACAAGTGTCTGGTTCTCTAAATGCCTTTTGGGCGAACTTCCCAAACCCCTTTCTCCCTCTTCGACCACAGCCCCCATTTGTAATCATCAAGGTCCCGGTCACCATGGTCTTTTCCCAACTCTTCGGATGAGAAAGGGTTCCTGGTGGCGGTATGGAAGGCGGGGGCAATATCTGCCTGCATAGGTTCTCGGAATTTGGAGTTTTGCTCAACATTGTGTCTCATAAGAAACCTGGCACCACATCGATCGGCGTGTCACCGTATCTGGTTCTGCAGGGGGTCTTTTACTGAATCTATTTCTTTCCCTGCCGAACGGTGACTGGGAGAAGACACCAACAGCTGGCCACGACCCTACGAGAAGTTGCGAGGAAGTTGAGATTCAACCAGGGTTGTCCCTCTCATGGTCTCAAGGGAGGAAAGGGCTTGGTAGCTGGCGTGACTGGCAGCTGCTGGGCGACGATGGACAGTGAGTTGACTGGTGACTTTGGGAACGGCGGAATGGCAACGGTTGATTCTCTAGCTGTGGAAACGGCGTGTCTAGCCCTAGTATTGCAACCAAGCCTGGCTGCATCATAAATCTTGTGTTTTTTTTTTCTCTTGACGCCTCGCAGCTTTAGACGGAGGAGATGTTTGCTGACCGCGTTTTCTTCTCTTGTCGATTCTCTCAATCCAGGTCTTTATGGTAACTTATGTCTCGCCGTCCCTCCCGTGCTGATGTGCTATGATGCCTCGCAAGGTGTACGGAAATGAGCCGTTTGACAACACACATGGCCCGTTCCAAAATTCCGTTAACGCTGTCATACTTACGTATCAGGGGTTGCGGAAGATGGGATGGACAGGATACACTAGCCAGGCACAATGGCTTGCGCA